CTTTGGAAGTGCAAATACACAGGTTTATTATTCCTGTGATTTTTTTCCTTTTTTTTTTTTTCATTCGTAATTGTGGCTTAGATACTCTTCCAGTATAGTGTTATTCGCTTTCTCAAAATACTGCAGAGAAATTATGCTCATTATTTCCTCAGGTGGCAAATTCTCAGGGGGTGGTGGTGGTGTAAATGTAGTTTTTATTCAGGTTTACCTTCTTAATCAGATTTACGTCCTTTGAGTTCATTGCTTTTTCTTTCTTTTATTTGTGCACTTCTAGTCCTTCATTTCTGGGTGTATATTGAATGACTTTTCTGAATTTGGTGACTGGGAAAATAAATTGTGCTTTGATTCTATTTATATTGGAAAATAGCAATTTAAGAAATTGCACATCTGGACTAACGTTCCTTACCATACTAGTATGGATAGGGGATGGGGAAGTCTTGACATTTGTTTTAAGAATTTTGTTGTTCCAGTTGTTCTGGTAAAGCTGAGAAAAGTGTTAAAGGGTATGTTGCAAGTTCTCAGTAACCTGAGTAGACTTGTGTATGTTTTAACATAGGTCTAATATGTTATTTAGTATTTAAGCGTTTTAGGAACAAGCAGATACTAACCATAGCCAAGAAACACTGGAATTTTTACTTCATGGATAATTATTTGCTATGGAAACTGTCTACACAGATAGCAAATATTAAGAAATTCTTGCTATGCTAGTCTTAGTATTTCCAGTTAGAAATATTACAGGGAAAAATTAAATTATAGGGAAGTACAGCTTAACGATGAATGTGAGTCTTCTTAATGGCAGTATTCATTAAACTGTTATGATTATGCTTACTGTTATGATGTCTGCTTTTTTCAGTATCAGGTGCCAAGTGTCATGAAAAACACAGAAAACCAAGAAAATGTCTACAATTGTTTTAAGGTTTAAGAGTTTGTGTTTAAAGGTTGAATTGTGTCATATAATCTTCATTTCAAGTGTACCAAACTTATGCTAGTCTAATTAGAACACCACTGTGAAAATGCTTCTGTTTTCCTTTGAGGGTCAACTTAGGATTTTGAAAGTAACTCAATAAATAAGAAAACACTTTCAGTAAACATTCATTTCTAATAGTAGTCCTTTATTATAGGTTGCCAGACTGGGTTTTTCACTTCATTCTTGAGGCTTGTTAAAAGATCACACTTGTTCTTTTTATGTTTTGGTTTATCTGTGTAAGTCCACGTATTCCTGTTTTGTGAAATAATATTTAAATATTATTCTTGCATATTTAAGAGATTAGGTTTTAAGGTAGTGTGGGATTTTTACAAATATGTTTGTCTTCACGAAGCTTAACATGGAGGTAGTAGCATTTTCTAATGTCAGTGTGGTTTTTTCCATACTTAGGTGAATTGTGGCATTAGATACATTTGAGGGCACAAGTTTGCAGTGGAAGTACTGTTTACGTATACTTAGTACAATACGGAATAGTGGTACTATGCTTAACATATATAATGTGACACTGTGATTTTGAGCCTAACACAAAAGCTTGTGACAAATGCTGTTTCTGCTGTTTTGTGTGGGGTGTCAGTTATGGACAAATGTGAATGGTTAAATATCTGCTAGCATTCACAGATGTCTTTAAAAGCATATTTCTATGTATGGAAGCATAGCAGCAAAATATTCAGTGTCTGGAACCTGATGCAAAAGAAAGGTGAATTCTGACATGGGAAATTTCACCTGTTTGTAAGCTATCTTTTTCTTCCAAAGCTCCTGAGCTGAAGTTTCTGACCAGCCAATAAGAGGAAAAATTCACTTGGTGAAGAGTCTGCCTTCCTTTTCTTTCTTTGGAAAACAGTTAGTTTCTTTCTGTTTGTAAAAGGGGACTTTGGGGATGTCTTTTGGTAAGTGATCCTGTTCTAGTCATGCCGATAGGCAGTCATCTTTCTTTGGGTTCTTTCATGAGATACTTCCAAGAACAGAGGTGGAGTCATTGTTAACAATGACAATCTTTGAAGTTCCTCAGCAGTACAGTCGGAAAGATTCTGTTCTGAGTTGTATAGAGATGTGAAGGATGACACAAATCTGAATTTGGGAAGAAAAATATTTCTTGACCGTTAAGTAAAAAATATGGTTGTCCAAAAGTCTCCCAGGAAAAACAGAACCTGAAAGCATTTTATTTTTTGAAAATACTAGATTTTTCAGATCAAAGTCAGGTTTCTATGAATGTAAACCATTGTAAGTCACGCTTTTTTTTTTTGATAGTGACACTGGAACTTTTTTAATGTATATTGGCTATTTTTACAGTCCCACTGATCTCATGTGTACTTCTCACTTGATTATTTCACTGTACACATAAATGATGTCTGTTGTTTTTATCTGTCTTCTTTAGTTTACTGATGTTTAAACCCTATTTTAATTTTGGAGTTAAGTAAACTAAGTCTTCATTTACTGTGTGCTACTCGCTGTCTCCTCCAAACTTTAGGAAGGGTTTATTGTAAGATGATTGGAACTGACTAGTAGCTGAAACATAGATGTCTTAAGATTTCGGTAGCCTGTTGTACTATAACATGATGTCATTATTCAGGCACTCAATAAAATAGACATTATCTCTATAGTTGCTTTTTGCTTTGTCTTATTACCTTCAGATGAATTACGTTTTATGGATTTTGTGGGTATTACAGTTACAATGTTCATATTTATTATAGTAGAGTTGTATAATAATTCTTTTAAGGGGAAGCTGCACAACGTAAAGGGAAAACCACAAATGTTAGCGTTGCAGTACACACTCAAATTGGAAACAAAACCAAGTAAAAAAATTTAGAAACGGTGGAGAGTTACATCATATGAGACTGTCATTCGGATAATGGCTTGACCCCAAGCACCTGTCTTTGATATAATTCCTGTCATGCAGGAATATAATTAGGATCTGAAAATGTTGGGGAAAAAACTGTCTTTGGATTTAACTTTTTTAAGTAGTTAAGGATATGGTTTTTTACTTGGTGATTGGTTTATCTAAAGGTACAGCCACTTTTAAACTGTTGTGGTTCGTGTTTCTTTAAACAAAAAAATTAATAAATCTTCTGACAAATTCAAGGCACACTTTAGATATCTGCACGGTAGAGGACAAAAAAATACCTGGAGATAGAATGCCAGGTCTAGCCCCTCCCAGCCTTATCTGTAGTAGCAAACTGATGTGTTAGATTTAATAGAAGGCGTAAAACAAAGCAAAATTAACTTGTTTAAAATGTCTCTACAGCAGTGGGCTTTCAATCAACTGTTTAGGAATAGACATCCTGATTTCAGGCTATAGTCTATCAGAGCCTCATGCTGTTAATGACCCTAGTTTTAGTATTTCTCTATGTAGTAATGTAGCAAGCTACGATCTGTGATTTCCCCAAGACCTTGAGATAATCTTTTTCACTACAGGGAGGCATGCTGGAAAGTGACAGAGCCATACTTCTATTAGTAAGAGTAAGATTTTGCCATTACAATTTTAACAGTGCTGTTTGATAAAGGTGTATTAACTATAAAGCATGAGTGCTCTTGTTAAAGTACCAATAACTGCATGGTAGAAATGTAATTTAAGATATATCACCCTCAGCAATGTTTGTTAAGAAGGAAGAAAGAATACTTTTAAGAGCACTTTTTATAGGCAGTAGACTTATTTTCATTTTCTCTGTTAAATTTGTACTGGGACCTCATCTAGTACTAGTTAAATGATGGAAGATTCTCTCTTTGCTTACACACAGTATCAGAAAGGAACTTCACCAATTTAGTCTAGCATCTTACTTTTTTTTTTGTAACGAGGCAGCTTTTTTTCTGCAAGCAGCATTTTCATCATGTCCATATTGTGCTGTTTTTCCAGCACGTGCAAACTATACAGACTCTACTATCATTGAATAGTTGCCTTATACAGAGGTTTTAAGAAGGCTGTGGTGTTAAACTGAAAAGTTAACGTCTCAAATCTTACAAGCTTGCTTTCTTGCATTAGGATTTGAATTGTAGTGCTGCCAAATATCACTATCTTAACTCTGCTAAATGAGTGTTTTCTCAACTTGGAGCGGAATTCAAACTCTTCAGAAATTATTCATTACTCTCTGATTTTTGTATATGTGCTGTGATTGCATACATCAACACAGGAGGAAGAAAGCAATCTCTTGCAAACCCTAGCAATTTGTGGGTAGTATTATGTAAAGTAGTGTAAAAAGTCACCAAGTTTCAGTGAAAACCAAATCAGTCAAAACTTCTTTATTATGATTTAGTGAATCATTAATTTCTTCTAATGTTGTATTCCTTACTACATCTTGCCAAGAGAAATGTGTTGTCAAGAGAAGGAATGATTTATCTTTCTAGGTTTTTTTTGTTTTGTAATTTAAAGAAACATTTGCAGTTTGTTAGTTCATATATTTCATTGAGAGTCTTAGTTCTGTTTCTCACTTACTACTTTTTATAGTTCAACTTTTTTTAAACATGGTGCATGGAAAGTGGACTTGAACTATAATCACTATGTGAATTTGATACGCTATGTTTGTAGGGTGAGATTTTTAAGAAGAACTAACCTAAATGTATTGTTACTGAAATAAGTGGAAATGGAACAGATGCGTGAAAACAAAGCTAAATTAGAAATGTGCTGAGTTGAAAAACCTAGTTTTTATCTTCATTACTTTTCCACTGTCATTTTAATTGGAATATTGACTTTAGTGGGAGGAAACTGGGGCCATGTGTGTGCCAAACCTTGAACTTGATTGCATTCCAATCCAAAAGTCATCTGATGCTTATAGATTTACTTAGTTATTTAGAGTTTTTTGAGAGAAAACTCATGGAGGCTGTCTTTTCCATCTGAGATCAGTCAAATTTCTTATTTGTGTTTAGATGAAAACTCAGCTTTCAAAAGGATGTTAAGTCAGATTTTTATACTATGTTTCTTATATGCCCAAAGCACATTTAAAATTTTATACTTTTGAAAAATGTTGTCTGTAACTTACTGTTACAGGAGTTGTAATTACTCTTGTTGGGTTTACTTTTCAAGGTACCCAGAGAATGGCATAGTGGAAATGGACACCAGTAATCTTCGACCCCGAGCAAGAACCATTCTAAAGTGGAGTGAACTAAAAGTGGGTGATGTGGTGATGGTTAACTACAATGTTGAGACTCCAGAAGAAAGAGGATTTTGGTTTGATGCAGAAATTACCTCTTTGAGAGAAATCTCAAGGACTAACAAAGAGGTTCATGCTAAAATTCTGCTGGGGTAAGATTTGTTTGACCAACTCATAAAATCTTTACATATCATATAAAGTATGTTTGGGTTTTTTTGTTTACTAGTCATCACTAGATTACAATTAATGTCATAGTTTGATTCCACAGCTATCTGAGTCATGGAATTACAGTGCATGCTTTTTACGGTGTGCAGACTTAGCTATGAGTCCGAATTTTTACATTTCCTGAGACTGCTGGATGCAACCATAAGATTTCCTGAATTATCTGTGGTTCAAATTGATCAGAGTGTGTTTTGATTTATATTCCTTTATATGTTATATATTTATACATTTATATTAATTTATATAATGTTCAATTCTACTGAAAGCAGAAAAATCTTTTTTTAGTAATTTTTGAGATAATTGGGAACCCTTAGGTCTCACTGAGTATTAGTAATCTCTGACAATTGGAGTAAGTCTCTGAACTGGCTAATTGAATTTTTAAAAAATAAAATATTTATGCAGGTATTATAGCTTCTGATAAGTAAAATGTGGAACTGTGGGATGTGGGAATTATGAGTTTTCAGGTGACTGAAAAGTATGTTTGCTTTGTTTTCCTATTTCATTGAAAAACTTGTGTATAGTTCTTTAGGAATGGTGCTTTCCGCAGAAATCTGTATGATACTGCTGTCAGTAAGCTGTGTGATTGCCTTCTCGGGGGTGAACAGATGACCAGTGTTTATTGGCAGTCGCCTTGAGGAATTCACTGTAACCTTCCCCCTCCTCATTAGCTTTCCTCATTCCCTTAACATACCCTTTTCTGACACAAAAGAACTAACAGCAAATGGATTGAGTTTGCCACTTCCATCCTTGCAAAAGAGGGGGGGTGTATGGGTACTTATGTGTTAGGAGTGAAACTGATTTTAAAATAAAACTAGAACTAAAGTAAAATTTCTTTTTACTTAAGAAATGATTGGCTTAACGTTTGCATGTCCCAAATTTACTCAGTGAGTGATATTATTGTTCTGGGAGTATATTCCTTAAAATGAATTAGACTGTTCACATATTAGTGTAGGTTTATTTATGAGGAAGAAGAATTGTTGTATCTATATGAACTTACAGTATAGGACATGGTTAATTGGAAGAGATAAACAGAAGTCTTATGATTAGGTGCAATTGAATATTTTGTGTTTAAAAAAAAAAAGCTATCATAGCTGGTACTAGGAAATAGAAAAGACATTGACTTAGTAAATCACACAAGTACATGAAAATCTGTTTTGTTGATGGTTTTTAGTTTTTGGAATAACAGGAGTTTTATTAGACAATCTCAGTGCATTATGATATTCTTGTATTAGGTAGAGCAGGCATATGGACTTGTTTTGTAGGCAAAGCCAAAAAACCAAACCTTAAAGTGTAAAGCAAGAAGAAATTCTGTAGGTAGTTTGAATTATTCATTTGGAAGGGAGGAGAGATTAAGAAATAGAGGCCAGTCTAGAGAGATGAAGATTTTCATTGTAATGCATTTAATATTTGTATGGCATTTAGTGAATCAGAGATATGAACTTCATGACTTTCTACAAATAGAACTGTCCAGATACCAGTTTATGTGAAGTTCAAATGTCTATTGATAATGTTATTTAAAACTGTTGTCTGCATGGATTCTTTCAGAGTTTTTCCCATTTATTAAAATATGATAATCAAAATATATTTTATATTGTCAAAAGCGAGCACATGGTGGCTAATAAAAAATTCTGTTCATGCTGACTGGAACTCTACAGGATAGTCTTTTTTTAATCTAAATAAACTGATAATTATGCTTCAAATTTGGGGATGGTAGCTTCAAATACAGTGGCAGCTGTAGCAAGTACCATGTGATTTCCCATAGTATTGACACACTATACTCTGAAAGAAGTTGCAGGGGAAAAAAGTGACAGTTGACAAATATCTTATTCTAAGGTGGTGAATTTAAGTCCATTTTTCAAATGGAGTCTTATTTCAGTGAATTTTCTTCCTGATTAAGAATTCAGGCTTCATTTACATGTTGATAGATTGTATAAGCAGTAATCAGCTAGTTTGCAGAAAGTAACGTTATCTGAGCCCTGCCATTTCTGAAATATGTCAGGGAATGATTCTGTATCACCTGCACTACCTACGTCATTCCTCTCAATTAGCAGTAAAAGTACAACATAAATCTGCTAGTATTCATAAACTTGTGTAAGGAACATGCTGCAACAAGAATCACTTTACATTTCAGGTATGTTGGTTTGCAAAATAAAAACTAATCTCTTACTGTTTCAATGTTTATTGTTACATATTAATATACGAATATTATATAAGTATATAATAAATAAAATATATTAATATAAATTATATTTATATTAGGATTATGATACTATTATGTTATAATATTTAGTGTATAATATCATTAATATATTAATATTCTATAATTTACTATATTATTGATATGTTATCTTGTGTTCTCACCATAATGTTAGCATTAGTTAATTGTTTTAAATAAAAGTGAAATCTATTTTGATTGCTTTATGAGTGTATGTTAGTGATTAATTGATTGTTAAGGGCTAATTATTTGTGTGCTACTTAAGAACGACTTTAGCAGTAAAGGGAGGCAGAGTTCTTAGGGTGCTTGAGATATATTCATGGCTTGGATTTTTTCCCTTTCTGGTATTACATCAAAGAGACTTTGTATAAAACAATTTTGTATGCAATAATTGAATGTTTGATTTATTGATCTTGATTACCTTTGACAAAGATTTCATGAAGCTGTTGGCACAACAACAGGAAATAACAAGAACATGTACTATTTGTGGTAATGCTTTGGAGCCGGTAGATACTTTATGAGTACTTTTTTACTCTGTCTGTTGACATGCGTGTTTGTTAGGTGTTACTTTTACTCATGTCTCAGTCATAACCTGAAGGAAATGTCCTGTACAGTTTGTCATCATTAGTTCATCTTTTGGGAAAAAGATACAGATTAGAGAATATTATCGAAGAGGAGTGAGACTGAACAGGGGAGAAAAAGACATCATTCCACAGAAGAATTGACCACGTATTAATGATTCACATTTGTACTGTATTTGCATTGTAACTGAAATTTGTGATTGCAGGATGTCTAAAACCTATCCAAACTGGAGTGACTGTGTCTGAGATACAAATACTAGGGAAACAGCGGTGTGTTGACCATGGAATATTCATGGACCTAGGACCATAGGTCTCTCATGACTGCATGTGCGTGCCTAAGAGTTCAGAATGGTCTGTGTGTGTAATACCTCTGAACTGATGTTAAGTAAATTTGCAGGGTGTACCTCTATTTTTTGAACATCCTCTGTTTTTCTTTTTTGGGAGTATCTTCTGTTTCATGATGTAAGCAGTTATTTGTAATCCAGGGTAATATGACTTGTCTTTGCACTTTAAAGGACATGTATCAAATGCTGTTACTGATGGGTAGTTGTGAGGCAAACTGTTCACAATTTATTTAACATTGGAGCTGGCTGACATGACTAAAGTCATCTCACCGAATCAAACCGAAATAGTTCAAATGGTGCTTTGTGTTTTCTACTTGCTAGACTTCAAGATAAATAGGGACAAAATCAGCTCTTCTTTTTCTTCAGTCAGCCTTTGAAAGTTTGAGCAGAGCAAGAACTCTGTCAATACCAGGACTTGTATTTTGTTTAAACCTTTGGAGTTAGACAACAATATCAGAAAAATCTGATCACTTTGCAGATTTTATACCTCTTTGACTAAGTGAATATTTCATGAATTTGAGATCTTTACCCAAGCAGCGGTAATGGAAAGTAATAGAAAGGGTCCTAAATTTTCAGTTTTGTATCTGTTGTCTTTTAGTTCTGTGGGTTTTTGTGTGAGGTTTCCTACTCCCAAAAAGGAAGGATTGTTTTGTTTTCAGATCAATACCTCTGATTTTTAAATATGCTTATTATGTTTTTCTATGTAACCTACCAGATCTGGGGCTTATCTTCCTCATTTGAAGACAATTTCTATGTGTGGTTTTTTTGTGGTTTGGTGGGGTTTTTTGTTTGGTTTTTTGTTTGGTTTTTTTTTTTGTTTTTTTGTTTGTTTGTTTTTTTGTAGGATACATTGCTGTTCTTTTAGACACCTTTTATTCATGTCTGATATGTTTTTGTTCTCAGAAGGCAGTATGTTTTTACATGATCATTATGCTACCTGTACAGATTTTACTTTTAGCTGCTCCTTCTACTTCTTTTGAACAAGTTTTTCCATTTGTATGTGACTTCTGTTTTTTGAAGTCATACATAATATTTGTTTTTATAGCTTTGCAAAGGTACAGAATTTAAACACATTACAGGATAGTGAACTAACAGTGGAACAAGTCTTGCATATTGTTCTGGATGATTTCAAGAGTTCTTGTGCTTCTGTGGATTTCTGTCTAGCTTGTCAAAAAAACAAATTATTGGCAGTTATACCTTGTTTTGACACTTAGGAAGTATGGTACTGTTGTTTTTCTATCCCTCTCAGTGTGTATTCTGATAATCAACATGTCACAGTTGTTGTCATACTTTGTAGGTGGCCAATAGTGTAGTTCTCATACTGTGTTTCTTCTTTAGGCCTGAATTTCTGTCTACCTGGCTTATCCCTTACTGATGCTTGTATGCTTTTGTGATATAATTTTCTACGCAAACTAAATTCCCAGTTTGTTTGTTTAATGTAGCATCTTTGACTGTTGCTGGTTGATCTGGGAAGACGTTGTTTTGCTGATATGTAGAGTATTAACAAGATTTGTTTGGAGCCATTTTTTAAAGTATCTTTCATGCTATATCAGCAGGTGTCCTAATAATAAGAATTCTAATTGCTGAAGAATTTACCTGCAGCTTTCTTGCACAGGCATAAAAATGGCATATTTCTTCTAGGCAACAAAACTTCTGAAAGAGTGAATTTGTGTCTCCCTCTTTCCTCTTCTCCTTGCGACTTCAGTGGAGCTGGTCACCTCCTTTGAAGAGGAGACCTCCTTTTAGGTCATGCAACTATTGCAAACCAAGATAGATTCTGATTGTCCAAG